GTCGATCTAATGATGGACTTCTGATGAGGGGACAGGGTCACCAAAGGATCGACTTTCAGCCTATTCCTGCTGAATCAGACTAAATTCTCTCCTTGTGTACCCAGCTTAAGAGGGGACTTCCCACACTTTGGAGACATTTCCTGTTACTTCTATTTGTGTATACTGAACAGGAAGTTAGTGGAAATCTCCCCAATGGAACACAGACTGGAAAAAGAAAACCTGACTGGTTTTACGTTTTCTGTACTCAATCCAAAACTAAAAAAAGGTTTTGGCTTTAGATTTACTTTAAAGTGAACTTGTCTGGGTCGCAACATTTTTAAAGTCACATAAGTGGTAACAGTACAGACATACTGTGGTATCTGTTAGTATCCAGGATCCTCTCCAGGACAAGTACTAACGTCAGGCTTCATACAGGGCATTGAGATTACGCCCACCCCTTCTGTTGCTAAGTCTCAGCACAATATTCAGTTGTCAAATGCCAGAGCTTCTCCTGGCCACTGAAGATTTGACATTTGCCAGTTGAATGATTGGGGGTGAGAATTATTCTCAGCTGTGAGAGTTGTAAAGACTCGGAATACAGCCTGAGCCTATGACCCGGGGGTAGAGTTAGCAATCATAGCCTGTGGCCAGGCAAAGAGAAGTCTGGACCAGCCTGTTTTACCTGTAGCCCTCCAAGGACATAATGTACATAAGTGTATATAAACCTAAAATCTATGTTTCATTGTGTTTAGTATCATGCCTCACTGTTAAAAGTTTTCTATTTAAAAAAATATATATATTTTTGCGAATCCGTTTCAAAGTTTTTTTTACCTGGAGATCCTCAGATCCTCTTAGTAACAGGACATCAGTCTATTAATTTTTATTTCTTTAGGAAATGTGTAAATATTCCTAGGGGGTTTCCACTTTAAAGGGAGATCACAGGATGTTGTTTACATATTTGGAGCTGTTAAGTGTTTAAAGTGACACTAAAAATGCATTCAAGTACCTTAATTATTAATACAAATGTATCTTATTTGTGTATCACTCGGCTGTAGATCCTCAAATCATCTCTGAATTGGTGCTGACAATGTCCTTCCTTCTGGAGGGTGGCTACTTTTGTTCCTCATGGTCCATGGGTGTTGTAAAGTAGCCACCACTCCAAGCTCGCTCCTGTGGTAGACTATAATGTCACCTTTAGGTTACTAATTTGTATTGAGATTGTAGTCCATCACCGGAGTAAGCTTGGAGCGGTGACTACTTTACAACACACACAGGGACCATGGGGAACAAAGGTATCCACCCTCCAGAAGGAAGGACAGTGTCAGCACCAATTCAGAGATGATTTGAGGATCTACAGCCGAGTGATACACAAATAAGATACATTTTTGTTAGTAGTTAGGATACTTGAATGTATTTTTAAGCTATAAATCGTGAGTTTAGTGTCACTTTAAGTTAAAGGATAAGTGCACTTTAAAACAAGAGAACTTTAGGGTAACGTCACCGCTCCTGCCGCATGCAGAGATAAATACTTACAGAGTTTCAACGGGCTTGGCCTCGGTTGTTTGTTGGGCTTGCGGTGGACATCTACCTCTGTCTCCTGACTTGGAGGGGAGAACCATAGAAATCAATGACGTGGCCAGGAGAGAGAGAGACGACATGCGCTACAGGATGTCAACAAACAACCAACCAAGATCGGGCCCTCTGTAAGTGGCACATATTCATCTGCACGTGGAGGGAGGGAGCCATGAAATCAGCCTAAAGGGGCCTAAAGAATAAGTACACTTTGTTTGTTTTAGAAGTGCACTCATTCTTTGAATTAACTTTTTATATCCTTTTATTTTAGCAAGATTTCTCTTTCATGTTTTTAAATGTAGAGATTGATAAAGTAACTACCAGAGGGTTAAAGTGACATTAAACTCTCGGATTTTTTAACATAAACCAATACTGTAATGTGTGCCTTACTGTAATCCATGGTTGTTTCCCTTCTCTTCCTTTTAAATCCTCATGTCTTCTCATGCTCGGGGAGAACTTCCCTTTTAAGCTCAGGGCCTCTTCCTGTAGTGCTGGCTCAGGTTTCAAGCCTATAGAAACTAATACACAGACACCATGTATCCATTCCAGAGACAAGGCAGTCTGCTGCAAAACAGAAGTTCTGCCCAGCATGAGAACAGATACAGATTTAAAAGGAAGAGCAGCAAAGAGAAGGGAAACTACCATGGATTACAGTAAGCCACACATTACAGTATTGTTTTATGTTAAAAACTCTGAGGGTTTAATGCCACTTTAATGCTTAGTGCATGCTGTGCTGACCTTCATCATCTACTGATTACTTATCAATTCTTTATTGATTAAAACATATATAATTGGTGAAATAAATGAACCAACAACTCACAATATAAGTACAGGATCACATAGCCTTGTATAGCCTTCAAAAAGGTAAAATAGGAGTCTGCCATAATCAGACATTATAAATAGTGTCAGGGAAGAATAAAGCATCCTCTGATTGTCTCTCTGTTTATTAGTACATGTTTAAAGCTGTCTCAATGAAGACAGGTAATACGTCTGCCCAGAGAACCATTCTCTATTCAGCTTTCTCTTTTATTTCTTTCATTTCTCTCCCTGTCCTTTAAGCTGGCCATACACCTTACAATTATCTGCAGATTTTCTGTGGTCAGATGGAAAAAAAGTGCCACAGATTGGCCCAGGTGGAGATTACTCCATCCACACAGTGTAGCGTAGATGGAGGAATCTGTTGAACCTTTTCCATCTGACCACAGAAAATCTGCAGATGATTGTAAGGTGTGTGGGCAGCTTTAACTGTGTGGATGGAGTAATCTCCACCTGGGCCAATCTGTGGCACTTTTTCCATCTGACCACAGAAAATCTGCAGATAATTGTAAGGTGCATGGGCACCTTCAGAAGGATATGATTGGGAGAGCTGCAGAGGACCGTGTGAACAAACACCGGTTTCTTTGGACCTTCCTCAGTCAGAAAATGATCGGTATCTGGAGTTAGTTGCTGTGGCAGAGAATATTGCTGAATGTTTTTACAGACACAAGCGAGGAAGCTATAGAACACCCTAGTCACCCCGCCACTACAAAGCACACAAGGGGTGTCAAATTGGGAATCTGTGATAGAACCTTCCTTTACCTATTTGTTATTTTTCTAAATTGTTATCCCTACTAATTTGTTCCTTTTTAATATTCTTTTTTTTTTTTGCAAAAATGTAAATAAAGACTTTATTAAAAAAAATTGGGAATCTGATTAATCTGCTTTACATTTGTTCTACACGTTTTGCTGGAACAGAGAAGTAGTAGACCTCAAGAATCGTTACTTGTGTGTAACTGACACGTCCATTACATTTTCTTCCAGTAGGAGGCAACACACAGCCTCTGAAAACCTCCTGTACATTAGGAAAGTAGAACTGTTGTAGTGTGTGCTGGATGACTGTTTGCTCTAGAAGGGGCTTTCCATATAACTTGTTTCAATACTCTACTAGTCAGGAGACAGACCGCCACCTCAAACAAGAGCTTTCCCGGCGTGTCGCATGGGATAACAGGCTGCTTCATTCTAATTAGTTTGTTCACCCCTCACCTATGTGGTTAGGGAAGTAGTTTATGTTTGCAGTAAAAATATTGCAATGCTACATCTAAAACCATAATGACAGGGGAAGTTTTTTGTAAAAGACTGGTTACTTTTCTGGCCATGTTTCATGTTGCATCCATATTCAGGGTGTAACATGAAATATGGTCAGATCAGAGTTCATTCTGTACAGGGGAGGTCGGCGAAGGTGATTTTGCCGCTCATCCTACTAAATCCCCCTGCAGTTGTATTGGGCTCGCAAAGGAAAAAAAAAATGGTTATACTCTGAATCATGGAGCCAGCTGGCTCTTCCTTCCAGCATCTCTCCCCCCTCCTCTGCAATGGTCTAAGGTCCCCTAAATCATCACACTGCGTATAGACGTGAGGACGCTGAGGAACATTCCAAGGCTGCATGCAGGAGAAGACAGGCTTCAGAGGCCAAAGAAGCAGAAGCCGGCTCGGAGCTTTAGGCAAGTATAAAAATGTTTTTGTTTTTAGCACCTAGACAAAAACAAGCAGTTAACACTTACAGTGCGTGGGTAACTACACTGCAAGGGTTAATAAAGGTTTTGACCAGAGTTTTTCTTTAAGGCTTTTTTTAAAGATAGTTTTTATTGGAGAAAGTCATACAGACAACAGTCACAGACATAAAACAGGAAATACAAATACAAAATCTGCACGTCTGGTCAATAGCGAAGTACAACAGGCAGGCACAGTGTAGATATAGCAAATGTTGCTGTACTATCAAGTAGGTACGCACCATGAGGTTCCCATAGCTTCTGCAAATAATCTGCATATAGAGTTAACCTCCTCTCAAGATGGCATAAAGGTGATGATGCGTACTTCGGCATAGCACTGTACCAGGCACATTACACACTTCATAATCTGTACCATGAAGTGCAGAGACTGAGAAAAAGTAAATAGGAAAGAAGAAAAAGGCAGGAGAGGAAAAGAGAAGGTAAGAAGAGAAAGAGAGGGTAGCCAAGCATATATATCAAGTACATATTAATACTGATGCAGGAGGGGGTATGC